TGTCTATTTTTGCAGTGTATACGAAGTAGGTTGTTTGGATTTGGATGGATTGGTCGGAGCACTGTAGTTCTATAGGTTCTGGACCAAATTTACAGTATATAATAGTAATAATAATAGTAATAGTAATAGTAATGGTAATAATAAAGATTAGATAAACCTAAATTGTTGAAATTAGTGGATTTCTATTATGGCAGCTTATCATACCAACGAAGTCATGCCAAATAAAAATTATTGCTTTAGTTTTACATTGTCGTCGTCTAAAGCCTCACTTGATCTTCGTAGAGTGCCTTTTGATTCAAGAGCATGTTAAGTATTTTCTTAAAAAAGAGATGAGAAATACAATCTCATTTTTCAAATACTTTTTGTTTCTTTTTGAAAAAAAATCTTTATATACCAAATATGTAACAAGGCTATGAATTTAAATTAAAATGAGACAAAATCATGTTAGATTAAAATATGTGGTTCTTGAAAACGAAGTTAAATTGTTGAACTGTTTTTTCCCCCATTTTCACATTGTTTAATTGTTGTTTGGATTCGGAATAATTGTTCCTGTGCATTGTACCGGGAATTCCGGACCAAATTTACAATAAAATAATAATAATAAATATAATATAATAAAGAACAGATAAATCTCAGTTCTAAACTATTGAAGCTTGCGGACTTTCATCCTGCCACGTCAGACTACCATGCCAAACAAAAGTTATCGCCTCAGTATTACTGTTTCACAGCGTCGTCCAGAGCCGCACTTCACTGTGGTCCTGGCGCGCCTGTTGATCCAAGCATATGAATTCAAAATAAGAGGAGACCACGTGAAATTAAAACGTCTCGTTCTTGAAGATGAAGCTGAACTAGTTTTTTCTTCTTCAGATTGTATTGGCTTATGTTTGCAGTGCACGTGAATTGCGAGGTAGGTTGTTTTGATTTGGAATGATTTCGGAATCGGCGCCGAGGAACAATCAGAAGCAATGCAGGGAGTTAGGAGATGCCGCCAGCAACCTTGAGTCTCCCGATCATAGATCTGTCCTTAACTGATCGTCTCTCCACTGCCAATTTGATCCGCCAGGTTCTTCCTCCTTATCCTTAATTCATCCGCTTCTCTGCTTTCCCCCTCCAGAACTCTCTGTTGCTTTGCGTTATACAGAAAAATGAATCCACTGTTTATTGTTCATAAAGAGTGTGTGACTTGTTATGAATTCAATTTAGTCTCTGACATATATAACTGTTTGATCTCGATACTGGATTTTAGAATTACTCAACTGATTTTGTTAGTTTTTAAAGCTCGTAGATAAGTAGCGAGGTAAAATATTTTAGTATTAATCATGCATTTTTTGAATTTAGAAACCAAATAGTTTTTTTTTTTGGCCAGTAGAGACCAAATAGTTGAGAATTGCGATTCGTAGCTTTGTGGGAATAAAAATTATATTTCCTCTTTCTTTCCAAGTGTAAAATGTTCCATACTTAAAAAATTATATTTTTTATTTCTTTTTAATTAGACTAAAGTGTACTTTTAGTTTTCTAATTTTATATAAGATTTTAATTTAATTTTTTAATTTTATAAAATCTCTTTTTAGTTTTTTAATCTTAACATTGTTAGTTTTAAATGATTATTTTTTATGTCAATAATTATTCTTTTAAAAAAATTGAACTTAATATGACAACGTTTAAAAATGCTTTGTTAATATTTAAAAATTTAATATAAAAATTTTTTCGGATAAAATTAATAATGTTAGGGTTAAAAAAATTAAAAAAACACTTTATAAAATTAAGGAAATAAAATAAAATGCTATGTAAAGTTAATTCAGTTGCTATATGCTTATTTTCAATTTGAAATGGAATGATTAGTTGGCCATCAAACTTCCATTACTTATTTAATCTTTCTTCGGCAGAGTTTTCATGTTTAAAATGGAATGATCAATATAGTAATGTTTGGTTGCTATGCTAATTGCTAAGTTGCGATGTATACTAAAAAGCTCGTGCATGTTTTTTAGATCTGGAGTTCTCTAATACTAAAACCCAAAAACCTCATGAAAACAAGTAAACAAATGTTCTATGCTTCGCTTCATGTTCGTGGACTAAAATAAATGAGGTGCACATGATCATCAGATTATTTTTAAATATTGACGCCAAGGAAATCACACTCATAGTCGTTGGAACTGCATTACAGGCATGCACTGAGTACGGGTTTTTCCACCTAACGAACCACGGGTTGGAGAAAGAGCTGCTTCAGAAAGTGTTTGAGGAGAGTAGAATCTTCTTCTTACTTCCACTGGAAGAGAAAATGAAATATTCCCGCAAGCAATGTAGAGGTTATTCTCCTCTATATGCTGAGAAACTGGATCCCTCTCCAGGATACAAAGGTAACTTTTTATTTTGATTAATCTCAAGGAGTCTTTTAGGTTTAGGGTTTAATATTAAGCCACTGGTGTTAGGAATAGGATGTAAAGTGTGAGTTGACTTAATATGTGAGAAAAGTCTCACATCAAGTGCAGTTGGGTTAGAGAATAAGTATAAAAGTGGAAAAGACCCATAAGTTCAACGTTTCAATGTTTTGGGTTGAGATGTAGTGTCATACTCACTTACATATGCCTTATTGGAATTCAATCCCAGGTAAACCTTTCATTGGCCTCAACTCTGATTTGTTTTTTTAGCTCTTAATGTTAAGTTTGAGAAATGAGTTGTGTATTGTTTATAGCTTTTGAATAGCGCAACTTGTTAAAGTTTATATAGACATATAGATTGGTCGAGGAGATGATATAGGGGAAGTGGTGAAAACTGTCTATATCCTTTCAAATTTCTTCATTTCATGGAAAAAGATGCATGATTTTGATAATTTTCTTCTATGTGATAATCAGGTGATTTAAAAAAGAGCTTCTTCACTGTTCCTTTAGCAGATCATGCAACTATTAACCTGGGTCCATGGCCTTCAGAAGGTATGGCTATCCTATTTTATTTTTTCTGTAAAGTATTTAAAATTTGTTGGTGTTTACACAATTGCATGGTCAAATATTTCGATTTGTGCATCAACTTTATTTTATACATATTTCTGGCAAGGAACCTCCAGAAGTACTTAAGAATCGGAGACCTACATTGGAATCCCTGTATTGGAAGCTTCTGTAAGTTCCTCAGTGTATCTTTCTGTACCACCAATTATGTAGAATAACTGATTACTTGTAAACTTCACCCAGTAGTAAAAAAAAGAGCAACATAGTTCTTTCTCTTGAATATGTAATCTTGTTCTGTGCCCTGTGATCAGGAAATTTAATCTCTCTCTTTAAATTTCACTATGTTTGGCACAGTGTGGTTTTGCTGGGTATTTGTTGGGAATTTTTTTTGTGTGTGATAATTATATTTCCTTGGGGAGAGGGTGGCTGAGCATTCAGATGTATGATTTTCTTGGTCTTTCCCTCGTTTTTCTTGAAGTTTGTAATTTAAATATGCTGTTTTCTTTCAAAGTGCGGCTGGAAGAGAGTTGCTATCTTTAATGGCCTTGTCCTTGAATCTGGATGAAGATTTCTTTGAGAAAATTGCGGCCTTAAACATCCCAGCAGCTTTTCTTCGCCTTTTGCATTATCCAGGTTTAGTAGCATTAACTGGCTTCTTTCAATCTTCTAGTTAGCATGCTGCAGCCCACAATTTTCTATATATGTGCTTCAATTTTTATCTTTACCGTGTGTGTGTGTTTTAGTGTGTGTATATATATATATGTATATATTTTTGGGTGTGATGACTCAAGGGGCCAAAAGACCCGATCTTCCCTTCCCTTTCGACTTTGATATCGTTGTTTTATTTCTGAACAGCCCATGTAACACAGCAGCTGACTTATTACGTTCTTTGGTTGTGGCCATTTAGGGAGATTAATTATAAATAGACACGTTTATGAAGACGGTGAAACTGACTTATTACACAATCTTATTCATTTATTAGTTCATCTACTTTCTTTTATAATATTTATTATAAATGAACTTCATTTGATTGTAAATCAACTCTTAGAGAGAATATTTGATAAGAGCAGCTCACTCTTGAACTTACTCAATTTATTCCTATTTTACATATCCAAAATAAAGAATTTTAAGTTCAGGAAACTTTAGGGGGATTAATTATTACCTTTGCAAAGGAAAATAATTTATACTTGTGTATAAGTATGTGATTGTACTGTAATAACTAAGAACCTATTTTAATTTTAGTAGAGTAAGTGAATAAATCCAAAGTAAAGCTTGAAGACTAGATATAAGTTCAAGTGATTGAAATTGAACTAGGATAATTGAGCTATTCAAGCTTTTCTACCCTTCTATCAAGTCTTTTTGGTGCTATTATTCCTTCCTTATTTCTTTTAATTTGCTTAAATTAGTCAAATTTTTATTAAACACAATTCACTCTCTCTTGGCCGAACTTGCAAACTAGTCAAATCCATTGTTATATCTGGCGAGAAAATCTTCACTAGCCACTAGGACAGAAAGATCAAAATAAGGAGAGAGGGAGGAGAGAGAGGGTTTGATGAAGGTGCCACCGTCAAATTGTGTGGGGCCTATAATTTTGAATAGATGGCCATTAGTTTAAAATAGATGAGAGGTGTTAGGCACTATTATTTAAATAGTTGATTATTTATTTTATATAATCTATAGTATATAATATTAGGTGATTTTAAAAAAATAATTTGTGATTAAATTTACATTATCCTATAATAAATAATATATAAATTTAAGGATTAAAAGATAAACATACTCTAAAATTTTTTCTCAAAAAATACTTAATATTTTAAACTTTTATTAGAAACAATTTTACCTTATTGTTAGTGTTAATCATTTGCTGGCTATGAGTTTGACTTTGGCTATCAAGTGGGTAGTCACATAACATTAAAAAAGAAAAAAAGAAATCCAAGTCAAAAAACTCATCTCTTCCGAGAAAAAAAAAAAAACAAAGCCAAGGACATGTATCCTCCACCATAAAATTTGACCTAATGACCTCGTGCACCCCTTCCTCTGCACCAAGTTGCAGTTGCAAGAGGTGGGGATGGTTCTAGAGGTTGAAATAACGTGACCAGGTGAGGAACTCCTGTGGGTGGGAATAACTCGCCATTGCTTCGTGACCTTTATGCCTGACTTAGACCTTAATTGTGGCCGATAATCCATATAGTGACAGCTCGATGGTTGAATTAATTCTCTAGTTTGGGAGTCTTGAATTCTCTAGTTCTTCTGAAGGTAACATATTTTGTTTTTGTTTTTTTGCAAGTTTGGGTTTCACTGATTTCTCATTTTGATTCCATTTGAGATATACCTGGATGATTGATGCAATATAGAATTCTTTCTATTTTTTGGGTTGAGCTCGATGATGTGCAAAATTTCCTTTATAGTTGAGGTTTTTGAAATTCTGAAGTTGTTAAGGTTTGGTATTTATTCTCTTTCAGTAATGCCAACCATAAATTTTCATTCATTGCTTGTGTTCTCTTTTTCAATTCTATATGGAGAAGGGCAAGATACTTATATGGAGGTTAGATACACTGATGTTGACTACCTTGTATTCTTTGATGCTGCATCTTATATTCTCGTGTTCTTTTTATAAATGGAGCAAGATGTTGATGAGCAAACAGAGTGACTTTGTTTTCAAGTTGAATCATTATCCTCCATGCCCAGAACTTGTAGTCTCGAACAATGGCGGAAACGTGGTAAGGTTTGGAGAGCACACAGACCCACAAATCAATTATTATGCTGAGATCCAATAATGCTTTGAGGCTTCAAGTTTCTCTCAGAGATGGAACATTGGTTATGCTACTCTCAAAGACCAATCACCTCTCTGTCTCTTCACTGATTTCACTTTCTTCAACCCCTTAAAGCTTCTCGATGCCGTCAACGCCGCCATAGCCATCCACCTCATCAAAGTTAACCAAATCTTCTCTCAGCCCATTTTCGCCTTCATTGACAAACAAACCTCTTAGAGATTTCCCAGAAGCTAGCTCTTGAACAAAGAATTCAAAGAGAGTAGAGGTGACGAAGAGTGGAAGAGAAGAAACAGGACGTAAGAGTGGCGGAGATTGTGTGGTGGTTGTCTAAGAGGAGGGGGGAGGGAGAGAGATGAGAGAGCTGAAGGAGGAAGAAAAAACATGTGGATCCAATCGGCTCATCTAGTTAGTGCCAAGTGTCATTTCCGTTAGTCAAACTTAAATGTTGATCATCAACGGACACAGCAAAGTGAAAAAGCTTCTTTAAAAAAAAAAATTTCCGAACAAAATGCTTCAAATGAAAGTTTAAAATATCCAGCACTTTTGATAAAAAATTGTTTAGAATAAGTTTGCCCTTTAAATTAGCAGACTTCCATCCAGCCATGTCAAACAAAAGTTTTGAAAGAATTTCAAATAAGAAACAGTAATGTAATATAATTATTAGTGTACCTTAAAAAATTCAGAAATTTTACTTCAATTCAAAGAAATAAAAATAAAAATAATTTTAACTGTAAAAAAAAAAATTCTTCACTTATTATGTAGAATCACCGATTATTAATTTTCTTATGTCATTTGTTAATTTATCAATATCACTTATATATTACATCCTTTTCTCATACAAGTGGTAACATCACTTGTTAATTTGCCAACTTTATTTATTAATTTATTAATATCAGTTATAAATTATTGTCAATAATTTATAATTAATGTTAATAAATTAATAAGTAAAGTTAACAAATTAATCACTGATGTTGTTACTGATGAATGAACAATTAATATCAAGTTTTATATAAATATTAACATGTCAACTCATATAATTTATAATTTATATTAATAAATAATAATTTTATATAATAAGTAAAAAATATTTTGATTTTTTTATAATTAAAATTATTTTTATTTTTATCTTCTAGAAGTAAAATTTTAAAAGTTTTCGAAACACCAACAAGTAATTATGTCACATCTCGTGTCCTTATTTGGAATTTTCCCAAAAGTTATTGCCTCGGCTTTACGGTTTCACAGCGGCGTGCCGGCGTCTAGAGCCTCACTTAACTGTGGTCTTCGTTGGCGCGCCTGTTGATGCAAGGACATGAATTCAAAGTAAGACGAGACCACGTCAGATTAAAACGTCTGGTTCTTGAAGACGAAGTTGAACTAGTTTTTTTCTTTTTCAAATTGTGTTTGCTTATAATTGCAGTGTATGTGAATCACTGAATTGTGAAGTGGGTTGTTTGGATTTGGAAGGATTTCCGAATCGGCGCCGAGGAATAATCAGAAGCAACGCAGGGAGGGAGGAGATGTCGCCGGCAGCCCTGTGTCTCCCTATCATAGACCTGTCCTCATCTGATCGTCTCTCCACCGCCAATTTGATCCGCCAGGTTGTTCCTCCTTATCCTTAATTCATCCGCTTCTCTGCTCCTCCCCAGCGCGCCCCCCCCCCCTAAAAAAAAAAAAGAAAGAAAGCAAGCAAGAACGAAAGAACTCTGTGTTTGCTTTGTGTTGTACAGAAAAATGAATCCACTGTTTATTGGTCATAAAGAGTGTTGTGTGGCTGGCTATGAATTCAATTCAGTCTCTGACATATATAACTGTTTGTTCTCGATACTCGATTTTAGAAATACTCAGTTGAATTTTTAAGGTACAACTTGTTAGTTTTTAAAGCTCGTAGATAAGTGGCGAGGTAACATATTATAGTATTAATCATGCATTTTTTGAATTTAGAAACCAAATAGTTGAGAATTGCGATATGTTGTTTTGTGGGACTAAGAATTATATTGCCTCTTTCTTTCCAAGTCAAAAATGTTCCATACTAAATGTTGGAAAAGAAATCAACTTTAAAGCTCGTCCACATACTATCAAAGTAGACTTAACGTTATCAAGCAGCAGCAGCAACAACAACAAACCTTTATCTCACTACTTAACGTTATCAAGCATTAAATTTGAATTAAATCAAATCTATGGCGTGGTTCTATTGTGAAGAATTAGTAAAGTAGTTAACTGTCAAGTTCTATTTATGATTGCTTTATGCATATTTTCAATTTGAAATGGCATGATTAGTTGGCCATCAAACTTTCATTACTTGTTTAATCTTTCTTTGGCACGTTTTTCATGTTTAAAATTGAATGGTAAATATAGTAATGTTTGGTTACTATGCTAAATGCTAAGTTGCGATGTACTAAAAAGCTCGTGCATTTTTTTTTAGATCTCGAGTTCTCTAATACTAAAACCCAAAAACCTTATGAAAACAACTAAACAACTGTTCTATGCTTTTTGCTTCATGTTTGTGGACTAAAATAAATGAGGTGCACATGATCGTCAGACTATTTTTATACATTGACGCCAAGGAAATCACACTCATAGTCGTTGGAACCACATTACAGGCATGCACTGAGTATGGTTTTTTCTACCTAATGAACCACGGAGTGGAGAAAGAGTTGCTTCAAAAAGTGTTTGAGGAGAGTAGAAACTTCTTCTTACTTCCACTGGAAGAGAAAATGAAATATTCCCGCAAGCAACATAGAGGTTATACTCCTTTATATGCTGAGAAACTGGATCCAACTCTAGGCATCTCCAAAGGTAACTTTTGATTTTGATTAACATCAAGCATTCTTTTAGGAGTAGGGTTTAATTTTAAGCCACTGTTGGGTTAGTCCTACAAGCCTGTTTAGGAAACCAAGGTAATAGTAAATGACTAGTGGTGGAATCCTTTTCCCAAGTGAACATAACAACTAGGAGCTCAGCTCCTTCTAGCCCGCAAACGGAATATATATTGAAATAAGAACCCTAGCTATAGCATATATGGATCAACTAGAATTTAATTTACAAAATACAATTTCATAATTTAAATTTTTACATAAAAGGTAACTTAATCTACCACATTCTCCATTCCCAACCAGTGATAAACCTTTCAATGATCTGCAGGAAATTTAGCATTAGCTAATAAATCTGAGACCAAAATAATTTTTCAGGCCTCATCTTCTATTTGTCTTTTTAGCTCTTATTGTGAAACAATAGTTTGGGTCTCGTGTGTTATATAAAGTCTGAGAAATGATCTGTATAGTTGATGGCTCTTGAATGTGCAACTTGCTAAAGTTTATGTACAGATATATGAATTGGTTGTGGGGAATGATATAGGGTCAGTGCTGAGAACTGTCTATGTCCTTTCAAATTTCATTTCATGGAAAAAGATGCATGCTTCTAATCATTTTCTACTATGTGATAGCAGGTGATGCAAAAGAGAGCTTTTACATTGGTCCTGTAGCAGATCATGCAAGTAGTCACATGAATGAATGGCCTTCAGAAGGTACGCCTATCCTATTAAATTTGTTTTGTAAAGTATTTAAAATTTGTTGTTGTTTACACAATTGCATGGTCAGATATTTCGATTTGTGAATCAACATTATCTGTTATATATTTCTGGCAAGGAACCTCCAGAAGTACTTAAAAATTGGAGACCTACAATGGAATCCCTATATCAGAAGCTTCTGTAAGTTCCTCAGTATATCATTCTGTACCACCAATTATGTAGGATGACTGATTACTTGTAAACTTCACCAAGCAGTAAAAAATGAGCAACATATTTCTTTCTCTTTAATATGTGAATTTGTTCTTTGCCCTGTGATCAGGAAATTTGATTTCTCCTTTAAATTTAACTATTTTTGGTACAGTATGGTTTTGCTGGGTATTTATTGCGAACTTCAACTTTGCATGTTTTGTTTTGTTATGTGTGTTTGTCTATGATAATTATATATCCTTGAGGAGAGGGTGGCTGAGCATTCAGATACCTGATTTTTTTGGTCTTTCTCTTGTTTTCATGAGGTTTGTAATTTAGATATTTTGTTTTCTTTCAAAGCGTGGCTGGAAGACAGTTGCTATCTTTAGTGGCCCTGTCCTTGAATCTGGATGAAGATTTCTTCGAGAAAATTGGGGCCTTAAACAACCCAGCAGCTTTTCTTCGCCTTTTGCATTATCCAGGTTTTGTAGCATTAACTGGCTTCTTTCAATCTTCTAGTTAGCATGCTGCAGCCCAAAATTTTTTTATATATGTGCTTCGAATTTTCTTTACTGTATTTAATTTTTTTTTTTTTTTTTTTGGTGTGGTGATGAAAGGGGCCAAAAGGCTCGACCTTCCCTTCCATTTTGACTTTTTTATCATTCTGTTTTATTTCTGATCAACCCATGTAATACAACAGCCAACTCATGTTCTTTGGTTGTGGTTATTGATTTGAATGCTGTGAAGTGTGAACTATACAGCAAATGAGTATGCTCTGTAGCTTAGATGCCACTATGGAACTTCATATGCGTAATGGATAAAGTTTAATGATTTTGCTTGTATATTTATAATGTGCTGGATTATTTTTACACATGCTTCCGCTTTGTAAACTAGATATGAGTAAAAGAAACTGCAACTTTGGTGGAAATCAAAGTTAGTGTTGAGTATAATATTGAAACATTCTGCTGTTTTATCAATCATCTGTTATTTGGCCTAGGGATTTTAATTTTTAATGCATCCATCAAAGAACATGACCTTTTTTCTGCTGATAATATGCCTGCCAACTCTATTAGGTGAAGTGGTACCCCATGAAGAGATATACGGTGCCTCAGCTCACTCAGATTATGGTATGGTAACCCTTTTAGTGACGGATGGTGTACAAGGACTTCAGGTTCCAATCTTTCTTAGCTAATTCTTTGTCATACTATTCTGCAATGGCTTCACAAGTTTACAGTCTTGAATTAAAGGCTTTTAATCCAAAATTTCATGCTTAAAGATTTGCAAGGAAAAGTCCAAGCAACCCCAAGTCTGGGAGGATGTGTCTCACATTGAGGGGTGAGTCCATAACAAGCAAACTTCTTTGTTGGAAATATTACTATTTTTGAGATTTTAAAGCTTACTAGAGCCAATTAATACATTCAAATAAATGAAACTAATTATATTTTCTGGACTATCATTTTTTATCATAATACTGAAATCAAAGCCAATCTAACCAATTGAATCGGTAAAAAACCAGTTTCTTGACTCATTCAATAGATTGTTTTGTTCATGACTAATTTGATTATCAATTGACTATAATATTGACCATTAACCATTGAACCAGTGCCTTGATTGGTTTAATGATCGGTTTATTTTTCAGTACTTTATTTTTTAAAAAACATGAAAATGGTTATATCACCTGCGCTGCCTTCCCACTTCCCGATGTTAGATGTTTTCAACTTCTATTTGCAGGGCCTTTATTGTGAACATTGGGGACATGATGGAGAGGTGGACTAATTGTTTGTACCGGTAATCCTTCAATATATCAATTTCTTTGCAGGCATTGCTCATTTTCTTACTACTCAATGTTTCAGTACAATATGGGCCATTCTCAACTTGTGTCCTTATTGTTGTAGGTCAACATTGCACAGGGTTATGCCGGCAGGAAAAGAGCGCTATTCCGTAATCACTATATTACTTCCTCAGTTTCTTTGTTTTTTTTTTCGGTTTTTCCCATTCTTGTAGCGTTATCTTTCTTGGCAGATGACTCATGAGTGCCTTTTAATTTGTAACCATGAGATGCTACCTTAGACTTTTTGTCATTTGGCGAATTTCCAATTGTTTGGACCATGTTGATAACCGGGCAATTTAGAAAACAATCTTCAATGTTATAATAAAACTTTTTTGGTTGAATGGGTTGTTCTGATTCAGACACTCACAAATGCGGAAGCATGCCTTTCACATAGAAAAAGTATGAAGAGCAGAAAACTTTCTTGTGGAGATTTTAATGTCAATGGTTCATTCTGGGACCAGTCATGGTTAAAAAATGGGTGACGCGTAAAGTTTCTACTGTTTATTTTTTTGGCTGAAAAATGCACCACTCTGCTGTGACATTGACACACCTTTCCTTTCTCTAAAAGAACTGTGTGCAAGATTTTTATACTTGAATGGTCTTGTGGGGTTACTATTGAAGGAATCCAGCCAAAGGTTAGATACGTTCTGTCCACTCTGTAACCATTGCTCATGATATCAAAGATTGATGATATCTTTTTTAGAGGACTCTGGGTTACAGTTTAGCAATGTTTAATATATGCAAAAGTGTTTTTTAGAAAGGAAATGAGAAAGATATTTGGAAAGAAAATGCAATAGATGCATTTCTCATTTTCTGTCTAAAAAATACTTTACTGTTCATTAAACATTGCATCTAAAACGGAACAAAGAATTCCTCTTATGTGTATGTTTTGCGTATTATACTGCAAAGTGAATTTTTTTCCCAGATGCCCATATCGATGATGTTCTCCCAATTAACTTGATGTGGAGGGATGAGTTTCTTGAGATATATGGTGTAGATCTAGTGACAGTTTCTTCTTCCCATTTGATACCCTGTGATATTTTACACACAAGTTTGCCCTTATTGTCTATATGTTGCTGAACATATTGCAATTTTACAGGTGGCTTTCTTTATAGACCCAAATCCAGACTGTGTGGTGGAATGCCTTGAGAGCTGCTGCAGTGAATCATCTCCCTCCAGGTAAAAATAAATATACTATTCCCTCTATCCCAAATTATAAGGCACTTTCGAGTGAGATTCGATGTCCCAAAGTATAAGATACTTTGATAAAAATAAAGTTTCATTGATTAAGGTTTTTTAATATTACCATTCCCATTATATTCTCTCTTTTTAATATTCTTTCATTAATAAAGTATTAAATTAAAGGTATTTTTGAAAGTTTAAATTTTTTTTTAAGAAAATAAAGTTGTAAAGTGAATTTAATGAGCTTTATTGGTATGTGTGATTTTATCTAAAAGTATTTTATAATTTAGGATGAAAGGAGTATTTTCTATTTGGCAAACTACACATTTAAAAGGGACCATTTTTTCCCCCCTTTCCGAACAAATCAAATTAAGCTTGTTCTTGTATTTTTCATAATTTGCTTGATTTGTACTATTATTTTTCAAATGTTAGTTTAGAGTAGAGAAACCACAAACATGATCAATTATTGCTCATGTGTTCAATGCAGATTTCCTCCAATCCGCAGTGGAGACTACTTAAACGAGCGCCTCAGGCTCACATATGGATCATAGCTTTCTAAAATTCTAAGAGCTATCGAGCTGCAAGTGCGAAATTATGAAGTTAAGCTCACTAGAAGACTTCCGCTTCAATTATGGGTTTGAAAAGAAATTTTTAGCTAAGCTATATATAAAAAAACATTCAATATTTACAATAGTTTTTAACTAAAGTTGACATTATAAGAACCCTCATCACTTGAACAAATAGTTAAGAGTTTGAATTTTAACCTTTATGGATGTAAAAATTTAATTGAAAGAAGTCTACCATTAGTCCTCATTATCACACGAGAGGTAATTTTACTGTTGCCAAAGCCTATTCCTTTTTATTACCAAAAAAAATATGTCTGTTATTTTAGTCATAAAAATTTACATTATTAAAAGAAACAAAATTAACAAACAATCCATCCAGCATAACCCAGTACTAATCAACAAAAATAACAAATCAAAATAATACAAGTTCCTAAAGCACAAAGACTAGGGTGTGTTTGGTTCGAAGAGAAGGGAGATAAAAGAAAAGGGAGGGGAAGAAAAAGGTTTTAATAAGTTTTTATTTGGTTTAAGATGGGAGAGGAGATGAATAAAAAATAAGTTAACAATTTTATTTTTATTAAATTTAACTTGATTTTTATTTTTTTGCTTTGAAAAAGAAACTGCTGTATCATAATTTATTAAGTTTTTATTTTAAGAATATGAACTTATATTAATAAAAAAATTTGAAGAACAAATACATTAATATTATATTTTATTAGTGAGTCTAATAAAAATATTAAAATTTTATACATTAAAAAATATATATTAATTGTGATAAAATTTATTTTATTATAAGAAAGAGAGAAAGAAAGATGATACATAATCTTTTAACATTAAAAGTATTTTAAAATTTTTAAAATAAATGTTTAAATTATTTTTAATCATTTTTTTTCCCTTCTCCCTTTCAAAAAACCCCAAATTAGAGGGGAAGGGAGTTGCTCCCCTTTCTAATTTTTAAATCAAATATGGGGCTCCCTTTTCTTTCCTTTATTAGGCACTTACCAAATACAGAAAGGAAAGCAAGTCTTTTCCCCTATCCTCTAAAAACTTTTAACCAAACATATTTTAAATAAAAACTCAAGGCAACACGTAGCTTGTTAAAATCGCATGTCACGTTAGACCGAAACAAAATGGCATGTCATGATCAGTTTGAATCTTTTGTGCCCACATAAATAAATGATATCCCCATGACCTTCAACTAACTCACACAAAAAAAAAAAGAAATAAAGTTTTTCTAGCAAAAGAAAAGAAATAAAGCTATTTAAAACTTAATTGATTGTCTTAAAATTACTCCTTTTACAAACATCCTCAATTTAATGCAATTTTTTGAGCATGGAAAAAAATTTTACTTCGTTAATTTTACCAAGTGACTTGTCAATAGGAATATACAAGCTTATAGGAGGCTTTATAAATTGAAATGGAAAGAATATATATTAATAGTCACTAGAACTTACATAAGTATTGACTGTATTGCTCTTAGTAAGTTACTTCCCTATAAGATAAATGTAAGTTTTAAATTTTTTTTTTTTTTTGCAAGCTAATGCATGTTTGGATACCCAATATTAATCAATTTTAAAGGTCAAAAGCATGGGTTTGTAAATACGCGCACACAAGTACATGAACAGTACTACTATCTGACAAAATTAATTATAAACTCTCAGGCTAACAAAAAATTATAAACTCAAGACTATAGTTTTTTACAAAATATCCAAACAGTTATTATACATGTCAAAATTAATTATAAATGTAAAATCATAATTTTTTAAAAATTATCCAAACACTCTTACATATATCAAAATTAATTATGAAATCAAAACCAACTATGAACCCAAAGTCATGATTTATAAAATAGAGTTTATATAATTTTTGGATAAATTTTTAAAGAAGCATAATTGAAAGGTTAAATAAAAAAAAAATAATAATAATTTATGAGATAATCATAGTTTTGTATTCATAATTAATTTTGGTGTATATGGGCATGTTGAGATATTTTTAAGAAATCATAATTTTTAATTCATAATTAATTTGATATGTAAATAAATATATTGGGATATTTTAAAAAAATTATGGATTTGAATTTATAATTTATTTTGACATGTAGGTGTTTGAATATATTTTCATAAAATCATAATTTTACCTTATTTTCAATTATAATTTTCAATTTTTCTTAATTTTAATATTATACTATATAATATAATTAATTATATTAATTAATTTTTCCGACTGATATTGGCATGGATCAAAGACTTTTAGCAAACCAATCAAGATGAAATTTCATACTTTTTAGAAAGTCCAACTTACCCTCTCTGCTTATCCTTAACCCAAGCACGTACGACCCCACTGCCTTTCTGCAAAACATGAGGCTTATATCTCGTCCATGAATTTGATAAAAGCGAAGGAAAAAAGGACAAAAGAAAATCAACCTAATGTTATTATTGGTTCAGGCGAGCATTGAATATGTGGAAAGCTTTATGGGTTAATACAAAGATGGGATTTTTGGGATAAAGGAGAATGAGAATAAACAATGTGATGATAAAAAGATGAATAGCCCAATAAAACAAGATACAGTGTATAGATGACTTTTTATAATTTGGAGAACAACATTAGACTTTCAAAATATGATAATTAGGTTTTCAACAAATTTTTGTAAAAAACTAATTATAAATATTAATTTAGACAGTTATAAATTTATGATTTCTAACTATAAATACGACACTTAAATTTTAAATATGATTATAAGTCTGTAGTTAGGAATTTTGTTTCTAACTGTTTAAATTAATATTTTCATTTTATTTTTTAGAAAAACTGTCAATGGATTAATTCTCATAAATTTCAAGTTTTGAAATTTTGTTGTTATTCTCTCTTTGTCATTTTCTTTTCAACTAAACAATATGGCCATATATATGTTGGATTTAAACATTTTAATGATATTTCAAAAGAAATTTCTATTTTGATTAATAGTATTAATTATTATTTAAATCTATTTTGTAACTTGTAAGTTAAACACCATTATTTTTTGAAACCATCTTTTAATTGCATTAAGATGTCATTAAGTAATGCTATAATTGCCCAATAATCATGAGCTTTTGCCAATAAAAGGCAGTGTAGATCGCATGCAGTGTATGGTTGGATGCCACCGTCTCGACTATTTAGGCACTCTCCTCTCCTCTCTCTTTTTATGCTTTTCCTGAGTTATTCTGTAATTTTTGATATTTTATCACCCTTTTTTTTGGCAAGATGTGTTCATTTGATAATAGAGAGTTATAATAATTTTAACTAGTATGTCGGAATAGTTTTTAAAGATAATATTGTCGAACATGATTTGAATTAGCTTTTCTATAAGATTTTTCAATAACACACTCACACATTTCCTTCTATCATTAATATAAGGCAAAGTTTTAAAGTATTTTTAATCCTTAATAGTAGTATAAGATAAAGTTATAGTAATTAATTTTTTTTTCAATCTTACCCCTTTTTATTTGTTGTGATTTGAATTTCTATATAACAATTAATTATGATTATTGATTATTAATTATAAAGAAAGATAAAATTAAAAAGGTTACATTTTTTACAATATTAAAATCATAACTAACATTTCTTAATAACACAAAATTAATTAATTCTGTCTTATCTTAACATTAAGCACTGCACACTCTGAGAGAGAGAAAAATAGAGAGAATGACATATAGGTGTCAAAAGAATTAATTAATTTAAATTAAAATTTTAAATGCTAAATTTTAAAAGTTTGTAAATTCAGCTCCCCATTTTATAATTTAGTTATGATGAATTTGTATTTTATGTTTCAAATTTTAATAAAAAAATAAATTTATTTATTTCTCAATCATGTCAAAATTAAAAAATAAATAAATTATAAATTCATCCTAATAAATTCATAAAATTAAAAGCTAAATTTATAAATTTTTAAAATTTGACAGTTAAAATTTAATTTAAATTTAAATTAATTGATCTCTTAACACCTATTTATCATTCTCTTCTCCATATAAAATATGTATGATCTTATTCGCTAAGAAAAATGGAATTAGAATATGACCAGTCCTTTATCCAAAAAAAGAATATGACTGGTCCTCCTCCTTGAAATCCTTCCACGTGCACCATCCTTGCTTAGTCTGTTCTCATTTGTCATTTCAACCAGAATCGTTCACACCTAAACGCCCAAATTGTTTACAATTCGTCAAATTTAAACGTGAAAATTGATACGTTTTTATTATTAAATATTTTAATTAAATACAACAATATTTAATTTAAAAGATAGCGTTCTTACATTGGTACAAAGAATATGTATTTAAAATATTTTGACTAACGAATTTAATAAAATATAGATAAATAGATAGATAGAAGATTCCCACCTTTATCGTACCTTCATTTCTTGCCGTTCAAGTTTAATCTTATCTTGCCCAGTAAATTAGGAAGACAAAAGGTTTGGTCCAATCGTTTTCTTCTTTTTGGTTAAAAAGCATTTCTTTATTCTTTACTTTTAGTTTTGTTATTCCTACCTGATTTTCTTCTCACGCAAGGAACTTGAACTAAATATTAATAAAAAAAATTCCGTTCTTATTTCAATTTGCAAAAATTTCCTAAACCAAATAAAACAAAAGGCTAATAAAAATATTAATTTTCATATTAGCCACTTAGACCTGTAAAAGTATATTTGTCTCAAGAAGACCAGCATTATGTTGGCAACTCTAATACAAATATGCACTAAATATTTAAATTTATTGGAAAGACCATTACAAAAAACTTGCGTGAAATCAAATCAATTGGAATTTTGATGAAAAAATGATTTTACTAACAAGAATTAATCCTAGTTTGGTAAAAAAAAAAACAAGGATGAATCGTAATAAAAAAAAGTTATGGCTTTTTAAATACAAAATATTGGGTTCAAGTTTATGTGAATGTAGAAATCACTTTTAGAAAAATCAAATTAGACCTAATAATGTTCAAATATGACTCTTTTAAATAGCAATATAAAAATTATATGATTTTATCTTGTGGGATTTCATATAATAAATTGATGTTTTGAAAAAATCACACTTTAAAAAAACGAAGAAAGAAAGAAAATGATCCTCTGAAACATAAATATTTCATTTAGTCAACATATTCGCACTTGCCCATTTTGACTTTAAGCATAAGAGATAAAATAATATGCATATAAATATTGTAACAAAAAAATATATATAAATATGATTCAATGATTCATCAGAACCTTGATAGAAACAACAAGCTTCAATG